TATAATATTACAAGATTATATACTATACAAAATTCTTTAAATATAATTACAATGACAAATTTTTGACGTTTGTTCACACTCACACATTTATTTTGATGAAACGTAGCAACTCTGGAATTTCAATTCACAGCGGTTGGTTGAGAGCGTCTTGCAATTTTTTCAGAAAATTATATACACGGTTAAACAGTGAATTAATACCATGGAAAGTGCAGGCTATAATAGATTTTGTATAGTTTATTGAATATACAAATCAAAACAGATATTTTAAATATATGGATAAAGCTACATATTACAAGGACTAGTGGTTATTCCGCACTTTCTTTTGTTGTTGTTTTTGTCGTCGTCGTCATYGTTGTTGTTGGTGTTCGTGTTCCTGTGTTAAGTGGTCTATAGCAGCAGCTGCAACACAAAATTATATTCGATTGAAAGAGAACACGCCTTACCGCCAACAATGGACATGGAGTACGTGAATATCAACCAATTTAATGACCTCGAGCTCGCGTCGCGCATGCGCACCTGTAACTATGAGAAATACAAATCTCTCGTTCGTATGCATCTCTCATTCGAGCTTGAGCTGAACACCGATGAGTAAGTTAATCGTGAATTCATAAGTGTGCCTCTTTACTCATTCTCTCTGTGCGTCATTTGTAGATTTGATTTGGCCTGCCACGAAATCGTATATGAGGACAAAGGAAAGCTCAAGAAGTGGAACAGGCTGTCCAAGAAACACAGATTGGGCCATGTTGGCAACGCTGCAGGTGTTGCCACTGTGGCCGGCTGTGCCGCAGGTCATGGCAGCAAATCGGTGGGAAACAGTCCCACCGAATGCATCCAACAGCAAATTGATGCAGGTTTTCAAATGCATATGCTGGAACTAAAGGCATTTTTAATGCTGGAAAAGAGTAACTACTGAAGCATCTGAAAATCTTAGCACTTTAATGAAATTCATAAATAATTCCAGATATCACTCAGGAGGGTCTTTTTCGTAAAACAGGCGCAGTCTCGCGTCAAAATGAGTTGCGTCTGCACATTCAACAGGACAAGCCATTGGAACTGGAGCAAACTGGCTTCTCGGCGCACGACTGTGCAACCGTATTCAAAAGCTTTTTGGCCGAACTACCCGAACCTTTGCTAACGGATGCTCACTATCCAGCACATCTGCAAATCGCACCTCTTTGTCAAGCCCTCACAGAGAAGACACAGGCCTCCTTGGAAAGGCAGCAGCATTTGCTGCACTCGGTCCAGTTGCTGATTCTGCTGCTGCCGGATGAGCATCGCGAACTGCTGCAGCATATTATAGAAATGCTGCACGCTGTTGCGCAACATGAGGATAGCAATAAGATGTCCGCCGAGAATCTGGCCACAGTATTCACTCCACATCTAATATGTCCACGTAACCTGCCGCCAGAAGTGCTGCACTATACAGCAAAGCGAATGTCCAGTATTATTGCTTACATGATTACCCGAAACATGGAAATCTTCGCTGTGCCCGCCAAGCTGGCAACCGATATTCGGGCGTACTTTCTTGAACGCAAACGCAAGAAAACAATGTCGCCGGAGCAAACGCTTGACGAATCAATCTCGGACATCTCAACGGTCAACACGGTGTACACTTTTGTAGATCGGGCCGCCACTGCAGCAGCAACAAACACTAACAACACGGATACAGAGTTGGCCCAATTATACGCTCACATCCAAAGTCTGCCCGAATCGTCAAAGAAACGTCGCCTAATCAAACAGTTTAACAAACAAAATGGACAGGGTATAGACTTAAATATATTCTATATATGTAATATATAATGCTTTAATTTATTTGTTACTCTTTTCAGGTACTCCATTGCAATTGGTCGTTATGAATCGGCTAAAGAACAATGAGGCAACTCGTAGCGCCAAGTCCTTGAGTGACTCGATTAAGAAACACATATTCCATAAGAGTCTCATGTCACGTACTCCAAAACGTGCACCTGGCTTGCAGCCCTTGCGCGGATCTGAGGTGGGTGATGGCTGTCGGGTTGGTGTTTATTTTATATGCCTATGCGCTTTAACAATTGCTTAGATATTTTTATGAACAATATCCTTTGTGCTAACTGCATGAATTATGTATATTCACAATCGTTTTGTGCACTAATCGCATGTTTATTTGTTTTTCGCTCAGACGCCCAATCTAACGCATGCCAAAACTCCGAAGTTGCGTGTACTGTTCCAAAGTCCAACGCCAGCGATGCATATACCCACATCGGGACTCGGCACTAAACCATCATCATCAACCTCATCAGCATCATCATGTGGCTCTAACACAATGCACACTCTTCACAAGTCCATCTCATCCACATCCCTGAAAATTGAATCGTCATCGGATAGTAGCAGCTGTGGCGCTAATAGCAGCCATTCAGCTCCTGTGAGCCGGCAGCAATCGCATGAGCTGGCCACGGGATCAACTGCTGGGCCGGAGCTAGACGAGATCGACGCAACGTGCTGTGTGACGCCGGCGAAGATCATCTCGGCTGTGGCCCAGCAGCTGATCGGTGGGGCCGATAAAAAGACCGTGGCATGGAATGATCGCCGTTTGCTGGAGATCGAAGAGTACTCGAATCCCTGCACACCCGTGCAGCAATCGTCGCGATACAAGTCCGAGCCTAATTTGTGTAGTCTGCGGCCACAGGTGCACGACGACGATGGCGAGTGCGACGGCGATGCAGAATCAGCGCTGACGCCCATTGTGGAGGTATCAACAACCACAACGACCAGCAGCGGCATGGGCAAGTCGATAACGCGCAAACTGATGAAGGGTGTCAGCATGGGTAACCTGCGCTTTCCATTCAGCACGCCGGAGACAACGAAACGTTTGGTGCGCAGTGTTTCGGCAACACTCAAGCGACGTCCCAGCAGCAGCGACGATGCTAAGCACATAGGCTCCCATACGCAGACTGCTGATGCACCGCTGCTGGAGGATGTGGACGATAGCGATCTCGAGGATGAAGATGGCGATGGTGATGACGACACCTTGTCCGAGATAAACGGCAGTTCCAATGAGCTGCCCGGGGGCCTGGGCATGGCAGTTGATGTCAGCTACCATCAACAGCTGCTGCAGAGCAGTGTTTATCGAAACCTGGATCTGATAACAAGCACGCCAGCATTGCGTATGGCACGTCGTTCCATGTCACCCATAACCAAATCCACGCAGCGCATGCCCAAAGCCATGCAGGTAAATAAGGCATGATTGCTTAGCTTTCATTACTTTGCATGACAATCGATAATCCTGTCATGAAATGGAACTAAACGTTGACCACTTGCAGGAATCCATTATGACGCCGCGTTCCCGCAAGCCTGTGATGCTATTAACTGCATTGGGCAATGCTGACAAGCAACAGAACCAGAGCTGCTTTCTCGACCAGCAGCAGCAGCAGCAGGACGATGAGGTGCTCCTGCCTAGTAAACAGTTGGAGCCGCCTGTGTTGCACAGCGAAGATGCAACTTCCCTAGGTGGCTATGCGGACATACTGAGACGCCAGCAAAGCCTAATAGTCCAAAGGCAACGCACGAGCAGCAGCAGCAATAGCAACAGCAATGACTTGGAGCTGGAGCCCTCGATGGCGGGAAAGCCGCACAATGCGCTGTCAAACGATTTCAAGTGGGTTTTCTATTTGCGATAACTACATATATTATATAATAATTGTGGCAATCCTATTAAACTTTAGAGAATATTTGCTTACGCGCAGTGTCTTGACGGCGAGTCCAGCGGATTCATCTTTTGCCAGTCGTTCAGATGATTTTGGTGGTGCCAACACCACACAGGACATCGAGGACATTGAGGATTTCGAGGAGTCAGAACTGAGTCCCAGCTTGTTGTATTGCTTGGATGGTAACGAACCGGCAACTGCTTCACCTCTCTGTAGCCTAAATATCGGACGTAAGCGTTCGGCGGGCTCGCCACTGAAGACCCCGCTCGTTCATGATGATCCGAACAATAAGGAAAACCTTTCAAGTGAACATTTACTAACGAAGAAACTGCTAATTACTTCTACAGCGGAGTATCCAGGCGAAACGGCACTTTAGCTTTAAGTGTTTCACACATTTGAACGTTAAAACCGTTGCACGGTTTTAAAAAACTGTCTTATCAAAAGTATATATATATTGCTTCCTTCATATTGTTTTCAAAAACAAACCGAGCTGTTCCAATAGGACAGCATTTTAAGTATAAGAAAAACGCTTTCGCTTTGTAATTGACCGCGTTTTCACCGTAATTAAATAGTTTAACTTTAGACATTATAAATGCATGCCCCATAATTATTCACAATACATAAGAATACAATTTATATTCATTTAATAAAAATATTTTATTAACTCGTCGAATTAATTGTTAATGTGTCTTTTAGGCAACAAAGATGATTTTGATAATAATTAGGAATATGAATTTTCTATTTCAAACATTTAAATGCCTCTGTTTCGTTAACATAAGGGTTAAAGTGAAATATAAAATTTTGATATATCGATATATTATCGACAGCAGCATGTGTATTTTGCAGCACTAGAAAAAACAGCTGATTAATGTTGACAGCCGCTACGAAACAGAAAACAACAATCTTAAAAGACAAAACAAATAGAATTTTACGAAATTCGTTGAGAAAAGGAATTAGACTGCAACATGGGCACCTGGATACTTGAGGTGGCTAAAATGGGCATGTACCTGACATTTCCCGTCGCCTTGTTTCACATCTTCAACCAGCCCGAGTACTTCGAAGAATGGGTGACCAAAAAGAAGCGCGAACTCTATCCACCGGAAAGCAAGAATCATCACGAGGAACTGCAGCGTGCCATACGTGAGCACCACCAGAAGCATGATGAAGCTATGATGCGTGCAATGGAGGAGGCGGAGCGCAGGAAGTAAAGTGCTGCGTTTTTGTGTGCGTCGAATGTTTTTGTATTAATCAAGTGTGTTATATAAGACAAGTGGCGTATTGGGAGGAAGAGGTGTGGAAATGCCTTGCAGCAGAGTCAATATTGAACTTGTTTTGCGACATAGTCATAATATAAAGTACTTTTAATTGATTAAAAAACAAAATAATTGTGATTTGTTCTGTTGTATTTCAGTGTAATTTATTGGGAGCCGAAACTTGAAGTGTTCGTTATCAGCGGGAATAGTACTATGATTACATGACGCCGCGATAAACAATCCACTTATCAATGAAGCACGGCATTGCTGCAACGCACCAGTGCTGGCCACAACAACTTGCCCACTCCATTCAGTGGCTGACGCATAACAGCCAGCGTAGCGTTAGCCATTTCCATGCTGATGACCGTCAGTTGACCGACGCGCCGGTCCCACTTCATTTATTCATTGCTGCGCATAACGTACTCGACCGGCTCTCGAGATTAGAAATGAATCTAAGCCATGTTAACGCTAGCCAACTGTATTTCAGGGGCTGCTGTTATCTCATTTTCACACGGTATTTACCTGTAATGCTAGGCAGTTACAATACCCCATTTAATTAGGTAACGCTTTAAACTCAGTGCGATGGCTTTGCTCATGCCTCAGTCAGTGTCAGCTGCACTAGATTTATCAGTTTCCGCTACTGTTGCGAGGTGGACGAGCAGGCAGGCGGAGGAGGAGGACCGCTATCGACAGCAGCGAAGGGGAAGGGCCTCCATCCAATGCTACTAATTGTCAAGCCAAGTAACGGTTGTTCACTGCCATTCAGTCGAATTCGAACCGTTATAGCGAACAGAACGCAACAAGAACAGATCTAGAAATGGCACAGGCGAAAGTTTTGCCTCAATATATAGCCGGATTGTCGGCAGCGTTTGGCGCCTTCTGTATGGGCGCCAGCATGGGCTGGTCATCGCCCGTAGAGAAATTATTGACGGAGGAAAATGCATACGGCTTCCCAATATCCGACGATCAATTCGGTTGGATCTCTTCACTCCTAACGCTGGGCGCCACCGTTGTATGCATTCCAGTCGGCTTTGTCATCGACATGATCGGTCGCAGGCCAACCATGTTGGCTCTGATACCACCGTACATGGTTGGCTGGTTCCTGATGCTGTTTGCCAACAGTGTGATCATGCTGTACTTTGGCCGTTTCATCTTGGGTTTTTGCGGCGGCGCATTCTGCGTCTGCGCCTCAATGTACAGCACGGAAATATCGACGGTTTCCACGCGCGGAACTCTCGGCAGCTTCTTTCAGCTGAACACCGTGACGGGCATGCTGTACGGCTATATTATCGGTGGCTATTGTTCGTTGCTGACCATCAATATCCTGTGCGCCATATTGCCCCTGATCTTTGCTGCCGTGCATTACTTTATGCCCGAGTCTCCGGTCTACTTTGCCATGAAGGGACGCGAGAACGATGCCATCAAGTCACTGCTTTGGCTGCGTGGCGCCGACTGCGATATTCGCAATGAGCTCAACGAAATTCTGGAGGAGACCAACAAGAGCACGGATGAGCCCAAGGTCAGCATCTGGGTCGCGCTGCGACGTCCCATTACGCTCAAGGGCATCTCCATTGCCGTAATGCTGCAGGCTCTGCAGCAGTGGACGGGCATCAATGCCATCATGTTCTATTCCACGTCCATTTTCGAGGATGTTGGCGCTTCGCTGAGCGGACGCGTGTGCACCATTTTGATTGGCGCCACGCAGGTGATAATGACCCTGGTGGCGACGCTGATCATCGACAGGGCTGGCCGACGGATTCTGCTACTAGTCTCTGCCTTCTTCATGGCCATCACCACCTGCCTGATGGGCGTCTATTTCCAAATGCGAGACAGCGACCCGAACTCGGTGGCATCCATTGGCTGGCTGCCCATCACCAGCATTCTCGTCTTCATCATCTTCTTCTCCATTGGCTTCGGCCCGGGTCCCTGGCTCGTCATGGCCGAGCTCTTCACCGAGGATGTGAAGAGCGTGGCCGGCTCGATTGCCGGCACCAGCAACTGGTTCTCCGCTTTTCTGGTCACTAAACTCTTTCCCGTATTGAAGAACAGCATTGGATCGGGGCCCACATTTTGGATATTCTGCGGCATCGCTATCTTCGGCTTTGTCTACGTATTGATATTTGTGCCGGAGACGAAGGGCAAAACTATTAACGAAATTCAACTCATTCTATCTGGCAGCAAGAAAATCATCGACTCTGAGACGGACAACGACTCGAAGAAGATCAAGCATTAGAGCTAGGCTTATCCTTGCCCACATTTATATATTGTATGTCTAGGTCTAGRTCTAGTCTCTATAGCTGTAGTCTCTACGAATAAGTATAAAGTACCTTTTTTTTAAACCAAAATCTTTGAAATTTGTTTGGGTTGAAGCACAAAGGTAAGTTTAAAATCATCTATATAAATTTGAATTTTGTGCATCTATAATCTATATACTTGCTGAAGTATGTGAATTTCGGCAATAGTCTGAGTTATGCTTAACAAATTTAACATACATAAACTTTTTGAGATAAGATATTGAAAAACAACATATTAAACGATTTCCGATTTAGGTTGACAGAGTGATTTAGTAGTGGAAGGATACACAGATTACAATATACATGTGCAGCTTATAAATATTCCACCTATCAAACCATGTTCCCATGAGTAAATATTCCAAGTTTCGATAAGATAAGGAATGGATGTTGCAGATATAGTTCGAAGAATCATATTTTAAACTGACTGGGACATACAGGGGAACTCAAGAACTAGAATATATCTCAAGCTTTATCAGGCAATAGTTTAGCACAATCTAAATTTCCGCTGTCAACGTTAGAGTCTAGTATTGGTTATTAATTATTATTGATTAAATAATGCTCCAGATGCCTGCAAATTTGTACATTTTGCAATTGTTTATTAATTTTGTTTTGTGTGTCGTGTTGTGTGTGTGTTTTATATAATACGAATTTAAATATATATACATATATATTTATATATATAAATATATAAACAGATTTACGTACATAAAAATATATAATTATTACTTTTTGTTTGTATAAAAAACTAATACAATGCTGCGTGTATACATCTCTATTGTGTATGTATGTATGTGTGTGTGTGTGTGTGTTCGCATATGTGAAATCGGCTGCATTTATCGAAAAGGAAAAAGAATATTAAACAATACAATTGATAATTATAAAACATTAGACATACAATAGGCAAAACATATTAACACACACTCGCGTGCAAAGAATATCAATTTTCGATATAAATATATATAAAAATATTGCATATGCTTAGACAAACTAACATATTTGTATATATGTATACATATGTGTATGCGTGTGTTTATCAAATAAATTAGCACTGAGTACAACAAAATCCTGAATTTCACAAATCATTTTCATGCTGTGTGTGTGTGTCTGTGTGTTTGTATATAATTTTGAATGATTTTGCTTTTGCTTTAGTTTTTGTTTGTATTTACTTTGTAATGTTTTTACGTAGTATTTTTAAGCGCTTAGAGAACTATTAGATTTGCATTTTGAAATTTGTCAATTTTATATCTCATTAATTGTGTGCTGTAGTTTTTTGTTTTCTTGTTGTATAGACTATATATTTTAAATATTATTTGCATTTTCCATTTTATTAATTATTTTTCATTCTGTTCTGATCGTCACTTTAGCTTCTCCTTCTTCTTCAACTTGTTCAAGTTTAGCTGCTCATTTGTTGCTGTATAATGCCTCTCTCATATATTTATTTATATATAGATATATATTATTTGTTGCTTTCTTTTCGTCGTTCACATTCATTTCGTTTGCTTAGCTGCTCCCTCCCAATGCTCTCGCGAGCCCATCTCTATTGTACCGTTCCCGCCATCTAGCTATCTCCCTCTCGCTCTTTCTTTCTCTCGGTTACACTGTTGTCCCCGCCTGCGCCGGTGGTTGTTGTTGTTTCCTTTTGACAAATTTAAGCCTCGCTCTTCTTCTTCTCCTTCTTCTTTTTCAAAAACGATGGCGTACGCAGTCCCTTCTTCTTCTTCTTGTCTTTCTTGGGTGAACCGTCCGTGGAGACATCCTGGAACCGTAATAGAAATTTGCAATGAGAATATCGTTTGCATTTCAGTTAGTAAATGCGATGAGCGCGCAATGGTTTTTGCTTGTGTTAATTAAATGAGTGGAGTATATGCATATACATACATACATACATATATATACATATGTAGTATGTGTATGTATGTATATGTATATGAGATGATGAGCTTCTGTGACAACTGAGCTCTGCTTAGACTGCACGTGAGAGCGTCGAGCATATCCAATTGGAGTGGCGTTACATATCCAATTGGAAAAGTTTGGCTAGGTAAGCAACTTACCTCTTTACTGCTTTGCGAGAAGGTGCTTAGGTGCGCCTCCGAATGGTCGCCATTTTGTACGTTTTCACCTGTTGAAAGTGGAGTAGATAGATCGCATTAGATAAATTAGGTAATAATTGTTTGGATAACAGTACTTTTATGTAACTCAATGGACGCACACAAAATCAATGTATATATATGTACATATATAAATATGTATGTATATATGTATGTATATGTGAATACAGTTCAGCATTAGAGGACGCGCACACGCAAAATGATTACGAAAATTCAATTAAATATTAATTACAAACAAATAATGTTAGTATATATGTATATGTATTTRTATGTAACTACTACATACATACACATGTGGTCTGTGAATATGTATGTTTTTTAGTACACAAATGTTAGGCTAAACAAACACAAGCAGGCATCTAAATATTAACATAAAACAAATACTAAAAAAATAACATTAATTATGTAAAAAGTGCATTAAAATGCGTGTTACCTGTTATTTTCTTAAACACCGAATGAATGGGAACTTAAAACATTATTTACATAGTATTGCAATGAATGAAAATAGCTGGGAAAACACTTATTATAACTGGTGGATTGGATGTGCCGTTAACAGTTTAATATGTAAATTATAATATATAAAAAATAATGCATAAAAATATAACAAAAATAAACACAATTCATGAACTCATTAACTCTAAAAATAAGCAACAAATGACAAATTCGATATTGTTCCATTTCTTATATGATAAAAAGAGTCCGGGATATGGAATGGAACGTAGACTTAATTTATACAGGTTCTCTTGATTAGTTTGAAGTGCGTTAAATGGAATGCGGAATGGAAAGCCGAATCAGACTTAATTTACTCTACAACTCCCTCTTGTTCCCCCTGGCTACTACTTGGCTCTGGTTCTCTTGACCACGCCCTTAATATCGTCCCGCATCTGTGAAATGCGCGTGCGACAATCATAGATAACGGCTCGATTGTGCAGCTCATGCGCCCGTATGATGCTGTTCAACAGATGCTGCAACTCAAGCTCCAGCGTGCTGAGCAGACGCTGCAGTGCCTCGGCCTCTGGGCAGCTGTGCCCATTGCTGCTCGATGGCATTGGCGAGGCTCGTGGCGCCGACGAATCGGAATCTCCCAAGGCCACATAGCTGTAGGTGTGACACAGTGCCGGCGCCGAGTTGCAGCGCTGCACCTGAGTCATTGCGGTGGATGGTGTGGGCGTGGCCAGTGCAGCACGCGGCTGCTGCTCCAGATGAGTGTGACGCTGCTGCATGGCCAGCTGCTGTGATATGTAGTGAATCTCATCATCGATCACCTTCTCCAGCTTCGTGCGAAACTCGTGCTCGTGCGCCTGCACCGTCTGCACGCATTCCGTGTCACGCAGCGATACATTGATCACGATCTCAATCGAGGACGACTTCAGCTGGGATTGTGCCTCCGGCGAGCTGCTCAACGTTAGCCTAATATGCTTGCCCTGACTGTACGCCTCGGCCTCCTGGGTGGATGAATCGTTGCTGGTGGTGCCGCGGCGCACGCGTCTGCCGTTGCTGCTGCTATTGTTATGGTTGCTATTGTGGTTGTGGTTGTTGCTGTTAATGTGGCTGTCACCCAGCCCACTGTCCACTCCGTTCAGGTAAATCGCTTGCTCCGCCTCGGGCTTGTCAGCCGTTGTAGCGCCATTCTTGGGCAGCGCATGATTGTCGGGCAGGAAGCTGCGCACGGTATAATTGCTTGGATAAAGACTATCGTCATCCCTATCCCTCTCCTGCTGCTGCTGCGGACTGTTGTGAGTCTTACGTAGGCTCAACATGGAACTAAACTGCGCCGTCAGCTCCTCCAGCGAGTCGTTTGCACTTGGAGCCGGCGCAGGTGACGATGGCGACGATGCCATCAATTGTATCTGCATTTCAGAGACATACGAAGGCGCTGATATTCCAGCCTCAGCCTCAGGTTCCAGTTCCGGTTCTGGTTCCGTCTCCGGCTCAGTCTCCGCCTCAGCTGCTAGACGCTTGCCCGAACTGGCACTCAAAACATTGAGCATCTTGCGCTTGGCAAAGCTCAGACTGGTCAGATCAATGAAGGAGACAACTCTTTCGCGCTGCTCAGCCACCGTTTGCCAAATGCTTTGATTTGCCGGATGCAGCAAGATGCTGGGCGTATTCGCCAGGGGATAGTTAAAGCCATAATGCGAACAGGTGCGAAATGGTGCAGCTGGTGGATTCATCATATTATTGCTGCTCACAGACTGCTGTTGTTGCTGTTGCTGTTGATATCTGGGCGCTCGGATAGGTGTGCTGCTGGCATGCAGATGGGCAGCAAAACTGTCCAWTGTGTTGTTCATGTTGCTGCTGCTGCTATTGTTGCCATTGTTGAGCAGTGGATAATTGTGTTTGTATGTTGCATCGATCTTATGTAAGACATTAACCTGAACGCAATCAAAGCGCGAGAAGCTGGCGCCAGTGTAAAGAAAAGAGTATTTCTTGGCCAGATATGAGCACATGGCTGAGAGAAGGACGAGAGATGCAATGAGTGTGTGTGTGTCTGGGTGTGCGAGTGTGGGTAGGAGTTTCACATGAGACAGGGAGAGCACATGGGATCGGACAATGGAAGAACAACAGCCTAAACAGTGACAACAACAGTAATGTAAATACTAACAGCAACTGTAAATGCAATAGTTGCTCTAGCTTTCACATTAACATTGATATTATTGCTAACAGTAACAATAATGTTGACCTTAACATTTAACAGTGACAATAACAGAGACTTCAACAGCAACAGTTACAGTAGTGTTAACCTTAATATTAACAGAAATGTATATTTATTTTCTATTTTTAATTTTTAAACAAATTAGTTAACTAAAATAAATATTTAAACAAAATAAATAAACTCAGAAGGATATATTTATTGTTCTTCATAAAAAATAGATCCATTCACCATACAATCCACCAGTAGTTAGTATAATAAGTATTAAAAATGATACAA